GGAACACGTGCCCACCTGGCTAATGGCACATGGGCTTTCAGGAGCCACTGAGGAGCTGTACGTGTCTGTGCTCGGTGAGCGCTCAGGGCAGGTCAGAGATGCTGGGCCTCAGTGTCCCCAGGTGCCTGGTGCCCGGGGAGGCTCAGGGCTGAGGCAGGTGTGACAGCTGGAGGTTTCGCAGGAGCAGGGCGGGCAGAGGCTGGAGAGGAGTGAGGGGCCTGGACCTGAGCTGGAGAAACAGGCGAATCCCCCAGGAACCAGGGGGGAGAGACACAGCCAGAAGGTCCCAGGGGTGCCAAAGGCGATGCTGCAGGAACCCCCTGCTCTCTCTGCAGGTGGGAGGGTGGGGTGAGTCATCCCTGTGAAGGTTAGAACCCCTCAGGCCAGGCCCTCCCAGGCCCCAGGAGGCGGAGGTGGTCTGTGCTGCCCCCTGGTGGCCGCTGCTCTCTGGCTGCTGGGGGTGCAGGTGCCCTCTGTCCAGGTGGAGATCCTGAGCCTCCTGCTCAGGGGAAACTCCCAGATCCCTGAACTGCGGGTCCCAGGGGAGGGTTGCTGGTCTCTCCATGGCCACGGCCGGTCTCAGGACCAGGCACCAGAGGCCCAGGTCGCCCAGGAACTGGGAAGGGGTGCATTTGGAGGATGGGGTTTGGGCCCCCCTTGCAGCATCACTGCTCCTATCCCTGTGGTGGTGGGTTCTGGGGTTACACTGGGGGACAGAGGACTTAAGGACTGACTCTCAGGGGTGCTGGCCGCTGGTGCAGGTCAAACAGCACCGTGTCCTGGGTCTGCCGGGATCATTTCTCTCAGTGTCAGTGTCTGAGAGAGTGTTACTTCCCCTTCTCGTTTGAAAGACAGTTTCACTGGGTAAAGGCAGGGAAGTGGTCAGCTTTTTGCGGTTTTCTTGTTGCTTTCAGTTTTCTGAGTGTCACTCCACTCTCTCCTCGTTTGTCCTGGTTTCAAGGAGGGACCTGCTGGGATCTCTAGGTTCCTCTCTGTGGAATGTGTCCTTTTCCGGACGCTGTTAGGGTTTTCTCTCCTGTGCTGGTTTTAAGGAATTGGATCATGATTGTGCTGATGTTTCCTGTGTGTGTGTGTGTGTGTGTGTGTGTGTGTGTGTGTGTGTGTTTACATGCTTGGGGCTTGTCAGAGTTCCTGAGTCTGTGGGATCCCAGGCTTCATGGACTTGAGAATCTTTCTCACGAGTATTTATTTCCTGAAATATTTTTCTACCTCCTCCGAATCTCTTCTGCTTCAAAGACAGAAATTACATGCACACTAGACTCCTTGACGTTGTCCTGCAGCACACGGAGGTTTCTGTTAGTGATTTCAGTGTCTTGTTCTATTGGTGGTTTTATCTCTTGTCTATAGATTCTCTTCCTTGTCACCAACTGACTAATCTTCTTTCTGTTGATCCACCTTCTGTCCACCCATCAAGTGTGATTTTACCTCAGACACCGTAGTTTTCATTTCCACCCATTGAGTTGTGTGCTGTTCTTTTGTCTCCCTCGTCTGCAATACCATGTTCAGTCATTCTTTTCCCTCCTGAATAAATGAAATATGGATTTTGGAAGTCCTTGTCTACAACGTCCATCCTCTGTGAAATTTCCTGGCCAGAATAATGGATTGATTTTCTTTTCTTTTTTGTTTTGTTTTTGTTTGTTTGTTTTTTTGCTTATTATGGTTAATATTTTCCTGCATTCCACCAGGAAATTTGATTTGACACCAGACTTAATGAATATTTCCTTGTTTAGTGAACAATACTTGTTATATATATAATATCTGTATATACTTGTATTGTGTTTGCTGTTTAAATTACCGCGGATTCAGTGAAGTTAATGGAAACTCTTTGATCCTTAGCCTCCTGGGATTGCACTTCCTGGGGTGGGGCGCGAGCAGCGTGCAGCCTTGTGCTCATGGCCCAGCACGGAGGACGCTCCTCTCTCTGGTCAGCCCGGCGCCAGATGAGGAGCCTGTCCTCTCTGACTGAGGACGCACGGCTCTGACTGTGGGTGTGAGCTCTGCCCCTGGTCTCTGGGCTCCCTGGGTGGCTCTTTCTGTCTGTGGGAGCGGCTCTCACAGGTGGTGCTGAGATCTCAGGGATAATTGCCGTCCCCCTGGCGCCATGGGGGAGGGAGACTCGCCTGCAGCGGGGCTTTGGGGTGAGCCCTCTGGGAGGAAACGTGAGAGGCCAGACCAGGTGACCTGCATGTGGTGACAACTGAGGATCAGCGGGGAGGGCGTCCTGAGCTGAGGCTGAGACTCGGGACCCTGGCCTCAGGCAGGTGCTAGGCCTGAGCCTCACTCTGAGAGGAGCATGGCCTTGGGGGAGGCAGCCCTTCCCGGGGAGGGCACAGCTCTGAGCTGCCAGGTCCCAGCGGGGCTGTGAGGTGGGTCAGCCCTGAGCAGGGACCTGGGTAGACTCCTCGGTGCCCACAGCTCGGGTTTTGTTGTTCAGAACCTGCTGGGGTCCAGCCCCAGCGGTCCAGGGGTTCCCAAAGGTGTGGACGGAGTCGGCGAAGAATGATTTACACAGAGACAGTGTTCAGAACTCTCTAGCTTTCCTTAGTCTCCGTGGATCTTCCCTGTGCCTGGCTGAGGCCACAGAGAAAGATCCCAAGGCAAGCTGAGCCTTTATTTTATAGTGAGCGGTAAACAAGGTAGTGGTTTCCATAGTTACACAGTTCTTGTAAGTTTCACTTGTTTACACTGTTCTTGTGAGTTTCACTTGTTTTTGTTCTTGTAAGTTTCACTTGTTTTTGTTCTTGTTGCACTTCCCTCAGCCCATTAGCTTCCTGAGTAAGATCTAGGGAGCGTCATAAGGTCAAGCCTAATTATGCTAAGAGGACTGTGCCCTCTAAGCTGGGACTTGTTTGTGACTTTGCCCACAAGTCAGTCCGAGGCTTAACCCTATATCAGCTTCCCACAAGAACCGAGGCTGCCAAGGTCCTGGTGCTTCATGAGCTCAGATTGGCTGGGAGACCTGGGGAGACACTGGGACATGGGACCAATGAGAGGCCCCGTTACCGGGGGGGATAAGCAGGGTCGTTACCACTGTCTGTGTGTCTCCCGCTGTGTGTCCTCCACCCAGGCCCTCGGTCTCCCACCCCACCCAGGCCCAGACACCATCAGGGCAGCCCTGTCCTGTCCTGTCCAAGTGAACCCGCTCTGTTCCACCCGCTGCAGAGCGGCCTGAGGCGGGAGGAGGGGCAGCCTGGGGAGCTGAGATCTGGGACCTGGGCCAGGCCTGCTCGTGGCTTTGCCTACAGTCCTCCTGGGGCAGGAGGAGCGTATGACACAGACGAGGACGGGGTTTTTGTCCCACTTCCCCATCTGCTGTGTCACTGTGAGAAGTGCCATCACTGGTACTAGACAAACAGTAATAGTCAGCCTCATCCTCAGCCAGGACCCCGCTGATGGTCAGGGTGTTTGTCTTCCCAGAGCTGGAGCCCGAGAACCGGTCCGGGATCCCCGAGGGCCGCTCGCTATCATTGTAAATAACCAGCACAGGGGCCTGGCCGGGCTTCTGCTGGTACCAGTCAGTATATTTTTCATCCAGTAAATCTCCAGTGCAGGTCATGCTGGCCGTCTCTCCCGGGGCCACTGACAAATGGCCCGACTGGGTCAGCTCATAGGAGGCCACAGAGCCTGTAAAAGAGAAGAGGAGGGGGCTTGAGGATTAGGTCCCATTACCAGGAGGTTCCTCCCAGAGGTTGTGCCTGGAATGAGCTCAGGGTTGGAGCAGGTTCAGCACAGGTCCTGGGGGGCAGCACCTGTGCAGAGAATGAGCAGGGGGAGCAGCAGAGGGGTCCAGGCCATGGCAGAGAAGCCCCGGGTTCAGCCTCTGAGCCCGCAGCTGGGCAGGTGGCCTCTGGGCGGTTCTTATGCTCTGCAAGCAGCTCCTCATGCAAATCTCCTCCTCCCTGCGGGGCCTCCTGGACTGGCTCCAGCTGCTCAGGGCACAGCTGGGCTGATGGGAGTTCAAATAGGAGCCTCCCTCCAGCCTGTACCAGGTCCCAGAGCTCTCCGTGGTGCTGAGGGAGACAGTGCTGACCCCTGACCCAGCCCCTGCACACACACCGCACGCTGTCCCCCGACCTCCTCTCTGGGCTTGGGGCGAGCCCTGGGGCCTCCACTGGGGATCAGATCACCCATGTGGGCGGGGCCTGCTCATAGAGACAGTGGCCAGTGGTCCCCAGCTACATTCCAAGTACTGAGCTAAATGCAAAATTAAGTAGGACCAAGTTCTTGCAAAGTGTTTGTGTTCTACTCTGTGAGACTAACAAACCAAACAAGTAATAATAATATCAAATGTAGCACTAAAAGAAGACCTATTACAACAGTGGCCAACATTTCAATAGTTACGTAGAGCAGAGTAATGTTCAGGTACTTTTCCTGTACTAACTTGACATTCCTCAGAAGCACAGGTGTATTGTGTCAATCATGGTTCTTGGAGTCGGGCAACAGAACAACAGAAACCAATTCTAACTACTTTAGGGGAAAATGAATCTATGGCAGCCGTGGGCAAACTACAGCCCACGGGCTGGATCCGGCCCGTTTGAAATGAATAAAACTAAAAAAAAAAAGACCGTACCCTTTTATGTAATGCTGTTTACTTTGAATTTATATTAGTTCACACAAACACTCCATCCATGCTTTTGTTCCGGCCCTCCGGTCCAGTTTAAGAACCCATTGTGGCCCTTGAGTCTAAAAGTTTGCCCACCCCTGCTCCAGCCTCTACCTGGTTCCCGGAGCTCTCCGTGGTGCTGAAGGAGACAGTGCTGAAAATCCCCTGAGGTATCAGTTCCCGCGTCTCAGATTGGCTAATGTGAAAGAAGGGATGCCCCCCACTTCAGGTGAGGGTGTGGAGAACCGGGGTCACTCACCCGTGGCTGCTGCCCGTGGGAAATGGTACAGACAGTCGGGAAAGAGTGAGCAGCTGCTGAAAGTACTACACTTGTCACTGCCACACAACCCCAAGGAGCACGTGGGCATTGATTTCAGAGAAGCAACAACATATGTTCACAGAGAAAGGACAGGATGATGTTCCCGGCACCCGTGGGCATGACGTGACAAGAGAACATGAGATGCCTTGCTGGGTGGAAGGTCAACAGACTCTGGTCCACCAGGACCATGGAATACGACTCGGCCGTGAAAAGGAAGGAACTCGATGCAACAACAGGTGGGCGGAACCTACAGGGGGTTAGGGGAGGTGAAAATCCCATCTCAGAGGCTACATGTACGGGATTCTATCTCTAATCCTAGAGGCCATTTCTGAAATGAAGACCGTTAGACATGAACAAGCAACTAGTAGAGCCATCAGTTGATGGCAGGGAAGGGCACCGTGAAGGGGGAGGTGGGTGTTTTTATAAAAGTAAAATGTGGGAGGCCCTAGTGGGGAGAGAAGGTTGTTGTGTCTTCATGCTGTTGTGGATCCATGAAGCTACAGGGAGGATTAAATCCCATAGAACCAAACACACAGACATACACGCTATGAAGAGGAAAAGAGGGAAATGAAAGGAAGAGTTAATGAGCAACAGCAGCAAAGAGCATAAGGTAGACACAAACGGAAGGATTAAATGGAAAGTAATGAGAGAGAGAGAGAGAGAGAGAGAGAGAGAGAGAGAGAGAGAATGAGGGGAGGGCCCTCCTCAGTTCGCTCTACTCTGGCCCCGCCTCCCTGTCACTCTCAGCCACATCAGCTCCATGTGACCTCCTGGGCAGGTTGTCACCTGCTTCAGCTGCTGCTTCTAGAGCAGCGGTTCTCAACCTGTGGGTTGCGACCCCTTTGGGGGTCAAACAACCCTTTCACAGGGGTCGCCTAAGACCATCGGAAAACACATATATAATTACATATTGTTTTTGTGATTAATCACTATCCTTTAATTATTTGCAATTTGTAACAATGAAAATACATCCTGCATATCAGATATTTACATTACAATTCATAACAGTAGCAAAATTATAGTTATGAAGTATCAACGAAAATAATTTTATGGTTGGGGGTCACCACAACATGAGGAACTGTATTAAAGGGTTGAGGCATTAGGAAGGTTGAGAACCACAGTTCTAGAGACTCTACAAAAGGCCACCTGCCACTGAAGCATTTATTTTGTTTGTTTGTTTATTTAATATATAGTTATTGATTTCAGAGAAGAAGGCAGCGGGAGAGAGAAAGATAGAAACATCAATGCTGAGACAGAATCATTGATCAGCTGCCTCCTGCACACCCCGTATTGGGGTTCGAGCTTGGAACCCTGACCCCCTGGTTCCTAGGTCAACCCTCAACCACGGTGCCACGCTGGTTGGGCTTTTTTCTTTTATTAAACAGCTTTATTGAGTGTAATTGATGCCGCACTGGAACTTTAGATGCAAACTTGACTTTCTGGGCTCACAGTCACCGGGCCCCTCTGCAGCCAAAGCCACAGGTAAGACACAGACAAGAAAGGGTCAAGAAAGGGTCAGTTCACAGGGATCATCCGTCCCTTTCCCACCAGGGCTGACGTGATGCCCCTGAGACCCTGGCCCTGTCACCCCGTGGCCACAGCAGAGGGTCCCCACGGCCTCCCCGGGGCCCCTTGTCGCCCTGTGACCTGGGACATGTGCAGGCTGCGTCCTCTTGGGCTGTTGTCCATCTCAGCACAGCGAGGACATCTGCCTCTGCTCCTTCCCTCGCCCTCCTCACTTGCACAGGCATCCCTCTGTCTGTCCATTGAGGCCACTACTGACTCCTCTACGTTATGGTCAGCGAAGCCCCTGGAGGCCCTGGGTGAGTGTGGTCGACACTGGGGTTCACATGGAATCCCTGACCATCCTCCCCGCCCCTCCCTGCAGGGTGAGGGGTGGAGCCCCGTCCTTCAGAGGGACCCGTGGAGCCTCGTTTGGGACAAAGTCACTGCAGCCCTTTAGAGAACAGCCCTTCACAGGGAGGGGGTGGGGGTGGCCCTGGGACCCTGTGGCTCCAGCCTCTGGGCTGACAGAGGTCACTGCGGGGTCAGCCTTGATCCATCCCCTCCTGCTCCTCCTGCTCCTCCTGCTCCCTGTCCCTCCTCAGCGGCTGGGGTCCCGCCCCATCGCTCAAAGGCGGGGCCAGAGGGGGAGCCTGTCTTGGCCCCACAAGCAGAGGCTCTGGCACAGCGGGAAAAGCCAGGCCCTGCTCCAGGCTGGTCCTGCTCAGACCCCCTCACAGGCCCCAACTCCCTCCTGGGCCCCCACACTGCGCCCCCCACGGGGTCAGGGCTCTGTCCTGCCTCCCTGAGGACCAGACGCTTCCTGCTCAGCCCCGTCCTGCCAGGGCCCTGCTTCCCTACACGGAGCAGCGGAGGCAACAGGCGACGTCCAAGGTCACCCCTGCAGCCTAAGGCCTCTGTTCCTTCCCTGAGCAGAGCCCCTGACAGGAGCCCAGGCTCAGTGGCTCCTCAGAACCTGGTCAGCCCTGCCTGCCCTCAGGGGTACGGTCTGTGGGGCCTGGTGTGGTCTGTCCCAGCTCCGGCCCACAGGTGAGAGGGGATCAGAATGTAAGTGAAATGGCCCCTATTGGCTTCTCCCCATGTCGCCTTGGGGAGCAGAGGGGAGGTTGATGGGTTTTGACAGGAAAGAGTCAGCATCTCAGCACACAGGAGGGGGACAGGCAGCAGGTCCCCCGAGTCCCCGGGAGGAGCAGACAGAGGGAGGGAGGTTTCAGCCCCACTTCCCCTTTGTCTGTGTCACTGTGGAACCCCCCGAATTTGCCACCAGTGTTATAGGCCAATCCACAGTGATACTCTCCCTCATCCTCAGACTGCAGGTTGGAGATGGTTAAGTAGCGGTCGGCCCCGGAGCTGGAGCCCGAGAAGCGATCAGGGATCCCGTCCCCCTTGGTGTGGCTTCCGTTGCTGTGAATGTACATGAGGAACCGAGGGGCCTGTCCTGGTCTCTGCTGATACCATTCAATAATGTAGTTGCTGTGCTCAGCGCTGAGGGTGCAGGTGAGCTTGGCCGAGGCCCCCAGGGAGGCAGAGGCAGATGGGGGCTGGGTGAGCACAGGCACAGCACAGAGACCTGCGGACAGAAAACACAAGAGCGATGCCCACTGCACCCCGATGAGCAGGCGCCCCTGGGACTGAGCTTGGAGGGAGAATCGGGGGCAGGACCCCAGGGGCTGTGGCCGCTCTGACCTGTGGAGACGACGAGGGGCAGGAGGTAGAGGGGAAGCCAGGCCATGGTGGGAGGGTCCTGAGCGCTGCCTGCGGCTGCCCAGCTGGCACTGGCCCTGCCAGCTCCTGTCTTATCCTCTCTGCCTGCAGCTCAGGAGGGAGGAGCAGGGATGCAAATCTGCTCTCTGGGCCCAGCCAGGGTCTGTCTCAGCTGCTGGCCCCGCCCTGAGCCCAGGGCCTCCTGCGGGGCCTCCCCTGGGGCAGAGGGCAGGTGTGGGTTTCATTGCTAAGAGCTGGTTGGCCCAACAGAAGGGTCTTCAAAGGAGCTCAGTCCTGCTCTTTGCACTTGACTCAGCCCAGGGGACTCTGACCTCTAAAGGCCCCAAACCAGGACCCACAGCGCCCCCTGGTGTCCCCGGGGTGAATGTCACCTGCCTGTGCAGCTGGTTCATCACCATGACTGCTTCTGAGAGCTTCCTGGAGGCTGACAGGTGGGGAGTGTGTCCCTGGGCCCCTCACTCAGCGTCACAGGAGCCCACACCATCCTCTGCTGGGGGCCCAGCCTCTCCTCCAGCCAATGAGGAGGGAGTGTCCTGGGAGGTGAATGATTTTCCCAGAATCCCCCAGACAGAGATGGTGGGTCAACACTCCAATGCAGGAGACTCACCTCTGAGCCTGACCTTCAGCCCCCTCCCTGCTCTGCCCCACAGGCCTCCT